GCCCGCTCTCGCCCCGTCTGAGCAGGGCTTGAGGTCTTTGCCCTCGCCGTGGGCCTGGGGGCCGGCGGGCCTGGCACCGGCAGTTCAGACGGGCTTTTTCGACCTGAACCGGGAAGGGTTGGCCGAGCCGCTGGCGCTAGTTTGGCTTTAAGCCTTTTGGCTTGTAACTGTCAAAAAAAAAAGTGCATATCTCAGTGTCTCTTCCCTTTTGGGTAACTGTTCTGAAGCACAAAGTGACTGAAGGTAATATTTATTTAGCTTCTTGTAAAATGCCCACAGGGCAGTGTTTGTCTGAAATCATATGTGGAAAGCAGTTTAGATGCGGAAGAGAATCTCGGAGAAAATCGCAACTATAATTATGTTTTATTCACTGAGTAACAGAGTCTTTTTGAGCTATGCTGTTTTTCTTTTCACGTTATTTTGTAGCTGCAAATCTCACTGTTGGCTTATCTTCTTTAGTAATACTGCAGCATTTTTTTTTTTACCTTGACATAACTAGACTGTATCTCCTATCCTAAGAAAATAATCTAGAAAAACACCACACTCGAGGTATCTATGGTATAAAGAGTGAGATAAGTATAGAGAACCCTGAATTAGAGTGGCTGTGCAGTGCTAGGGTGTCTGCCTGCCCTTCGGAGTCTGCCTGAGTCTCTGACCTCCTCTGAGCCCAGCTAGGCAACCACTCCAAGTATGCATCAACTGTTAGCTGACTTGAGGCAACCTGCTAATAGGGCTGCTCTGTTTCAAAATCTGAACTGGTGTCTCAAAGTACTGCAGCACATGCAAGGCCAGAGTTTGTTGTACAGTGTGAACGTGGTTAAGATGAACTGTAAACAAGAGTGAGGAGCTGAGCTGAGCAAGAGTGCGTCTGGATAAAATGAAATTCTGCTGGATCTTAGTATAACTTGTGCCTGTTCGTTATTCTGAGCTAAATAGAAAAAAAAGAAGCTTTTACAGATGCAGTTAAAACAAGCTGTAAAAATTGAGGTTTGGCTTGGAAGTTGCTCTTCAGCCTCTGCTAATTCCGAATTTCAAGGTGCAAAAGGCAAGGAAAATAGTAACACTGGGAAAAGAGCTTATAGCTTGCCTGAGATTTCATCAAAGGAAGGGCTCATCCACTTCCAAAAGAGATTTCAAATATGGTTATATAATTTTTGATGAAGCTGTCTTTTTATTCTGTTATTTCACTGCCATGCATAAACTTGAGATTTAAAAAGAGAGATACAGGATGCCTTTCAAAAACATTTTTTTCTTTGACTTCAGAATATTACTAAAATATTGTCAGTAACTTGTAGATGAGTATTTAGAGAGAAAAATAGTTATTGGTAGAAATATATTATCATTAAAAATATGTTAACTGCTGATCAGTTGCTATTCATGTGAAGGTCTGCATTTTTGTTCCTTTATTCCTCTCTGCAGGATTTGGAATGCTTTGACTGATAATTATGGTAACGTAATGCCAGTTGACTGGAAATCTTCCCACACCAGAGCTTTGCACTTGCCAACACTGAATCTTTCAGAAAAAGGGGTAAGTTCTGACTATCAAAAATACCCTGTTGGGGCTCTTTTATGCTCAGCAGGGGAAATAAAACAATTTATATTTGTACAAAATAGTGTTGATCTTAAATGACTTAAAATATTTTTTGTGCTTGGCCTTAGGCATAAGTATGAGAGGATTTATAACCATCTGATAACCATTGATATGTATTTGCTTTTCTTCAATATGAAGTATATAAGGGTTAGTTTTAGATGAGTGAATAAGCTAACGTTCGCCAGAGCAGAGCATGATAGGCAAAATTGTAAATCGTGAAAGTGTTTGGCATAAAAACTTTCTCCTGGCCTTTCATGCTGAAGTAGTCCGTGATGGGGCAAGGAGGGAGGGGGTATTCTTATTGAGTAAATCCACTGTGGACTTTTTCAGTGATGACCTCATTCGACAGTCAGATAGATGCTAAAGTGAATTCATTTGCAGGAAAGAAGACCCAGGAGATACTAAAATGCAACAGTTCAGTTTGTATTTAACAAGCAAAATAGTTGTCTAAAGAGGGAGTACAGAATGAAAAGTTTCAGAGATTTAAAGAAACAGTTGTCCTGTGATCTTCTGAAAAGTCAGTTAAAACACTTAGGAAGCAAAGCTGGGAGGAATTCCAGTCTCCAAAGTCTTCTGAGTAAACAGGTTATTTATCTTTTAAACATACTGAAGTTTAGTTGTAAAAACACGTGCCTGTGTGAAACCTGAAAATAAATGAGTGTTTGACTTTTGCTATCCGTTAAGTAATCCACAGCTACTTTTCTTACAGTGACAGAAAAAAAGATTGTGAAAAGGATACCCGAAAAAAAATTATTTTTTTCTGCAGGAGAGGATGACAGTCTGGAACTCTGTTTCTGTTTGGGTCTGATTATTTATTTTCTTGAATTTGACTTGATTTATTCTGATTTTTATTAATAGAGGATTTGTTAATATTTTCTAAGTGGTTTTAGAGTAATTCAGTCTTTACAGTAAAGTAAAAACAGTTGCCTGTTCCCTTGTTCTATGACTGAAAAGATGAACCAGAAGACTGATGGATTTCTTGATAAGGAACTAGGTATGATATTGGAAAGATGTTTAATATAGTTTTTGTAAGTTGTTTACAGACAGCAATGCATGAACTGCATTAAAAATGTGATGTTACTGGCTTAGAAAGAATCTTAGGTATGTTGCCAGCAGAGGAAAATCAATTAATGGATTAAACATATCTCAAGTTTCTTCAGCTTTCACTCCACCTGGTGTGCCTTTTGATGTGTAAAGTGCATCTGTTTGGGAGCATTTGACGCAATTTTTTTCTACTTCTCTGTGCTTCAGCAGTATTTCTGGATATGTGACAGCACATCTGGTCCAGCTAGTAGCTTGTTTTAGCTTTCTCTACAGTGAATACTAACAGCTAAGCAGCACTTCCTTGATGCGTTTGAAACTAATAATGTGCCATTGGACTTGGGCTTGAAATATTTCTCTTCCTGCTTTGTGAGGGAAAAACTGCAAGGTTAATGAGGTTGATTATCTAATCTTTGCTGCTTCACCTTACAAATCTGTGAATATTTTTATATAGCTCCGACACTGAAAGAAGTAGTTGAGTGGTACAATGAACAGGATTGTGCGATTTTTTTATTATATTTTTTGTTAGGTCAGTTTTAACCAGGTTATTCGCTGAGTCGATCAACTAGGCGAGTTCAAACACCCATATTGCCAGCGCAACGAGTAGGAATGTGAGGGCAGAAACAAAGGCATGGAGTGTGGATGGAAGGCCAGATGATCCTTTTGGTATCAGCTCTAGCTTGGGCTGTTTGGGGTAATTTATTAGCATAAGTTGTCGGAATGTGTTCTGATGGTTCTTGGGCGGGTGGGAAGGGTATCTGGCCTCTTTCTAGATAAGCTGTTATTCTCACTTACTATCTCATAGATGTTAACGTATTCCTGTATAAATGGAAAACTGTTTGAGGACTGCAGACATTAAGGACTGTCAAAACTGTATCCGTGTGGTAGGTGAACAGATATTTTTCATGGAGTCCTATCACTGCATGGTTATTGAAATTCAGATTCTGGACATCTGACTTCCTTCTGATATCTGAAGAAATACAAATTGTATGGGTTCCCCTAAATGTGGCGTGTGATAGACTAGCTATCTGGGGATTTCAATAGCTTCTCCAAAATGAATCTGAGAGCTATGTAAGTTTCCAAGGAAACTGTGAAGATTGGAGGAACTACACAAGCAAAAAAATTAAAAACTGATACAGTGAGACTGTGGACTTTATATAGCTGATTTCAAAGTTTGTAAATTAGTCCAAAAATTAGTTGAACAGTTGAACTGAAAATGGCAACAGGTAGGGGGTGGGGCTTTTTGACGATGGAGGGGTATGGGCTTTGTGTGTTTGTGGTTTTTCTAATTGTTTTTAAGATTGACATTTGTCATACTAGATGAATTTAGTTTTTCTGCGTTGGTTTGGCTGGAATCTGGTAACAGACAAAGTGCAGAAAAAATGAGCAGTAAATGGAACGGTAAATAAACTAGAGTATATCAGTGTGTGAGAGTAAAATAAACCTAACTGACAAAGGAGGGGACTTACGTTTTTTGGTTTATTCAGTGAATTCAAGACTTTTCAGACTATAATTACATCTTTGTGTTTGAAGGATAGATATAATTGTGTGGGAAGAGTGTTACTTTTTTTTTTTTTTTTAAGACAGATCTTTAACAAAGTTTCATTTTTTTATAATCAGAGCAGATACCTATTTTCTGTTTTTTAAAAAACATTTTTGATGTCCTTCATTATGCAAAGGAGTAAGTATATAAAGCTAGTAAAATAAAATTTATGCAATATTAAATATTCTGTGTAGGCTTTCACCCCACACTGATTGATCTATATCTGTCTTCATTTAAGACAGTAACCTGATTTAAATATCTATATAGGATTGACTGCCTTCCCCGCAGATATCTGTGTTATCATTGTGCACATGGTTTTTATATCCTGCGGGGTTTTATCTTTAGGGTAACAGATATCTTAACGGTCTCCAGGTACACTTTTGATTTCAGTTATTAAGGTACTTCAACTTTCAGGTACTTCACCGCAGGAATCATTTGATTCTGTTATTGTGGGCAAGGAACCTGTTTTTTTTTCTTAAAACTTTAATGCTAGTTCTTCTTTTGTTTTATGTATATGCATGCTTCCTAGGTAAATGACAACTTGAATCTTGACCTGTCAGATGATGAAGAGCTGAGAGAACAGTTGGATATGCATTCTATCATTGTTTCCTGCATCAATGATGAACCACTTTTCACAGCAGAACAGGTAAAATGTTCAGCAAAAAGGTAGTGTTGTTATAATATTTTCTTTTAGTGTAGCTATATTTCTTTTTAGTGCAGCTTTGTTCTTCTTCCTTGCTGTTTACAAATCTTTACAATAGCTAAGCTTTTTAAATTATTTGATTTTATTTAAAAGCACATAATAATGTATGCGATATTACCATGTCATTCAGATTTCGTTGTGAAAATAGTGTTCCACTGCTTCAGATGAGATTGATAGTCAGGGTCTTTGAAATCTTCTTATGTCAGTTCTCCACTTCAAATTTTTTTGGTTGCTTCTTACCATAAATTAGTTAGAAATACTGCTAGGTTAAAGATGCATGTTATGTAGCAAAAACATTTTCAGAATGTTAGTATTACTGTAGAGTTTGGGGTTTTCGGATGTGACAACATAGACATTTAATTCTCGCATCTCCCTATGTCTTTGTGGTTAGTGAGAAGTCCTTGGAAATTTTGCCTAATTTTAGAGCAGATCAACAGCTCTGCTATTAAGCTGTGAACTTACTTGGCTCTGAAGGCTTCTGTTCTAAAGCTGTGGATTTACTTACGTTAACTTTACTCAGCAGAGCAATTTTAACGAGAATGGCTGTCTGTTCAGATCCTGCTTTAGTAAGCAAATGCAAGAGTGTATTTTTTCTTGTGGTTTTAATGGGAACTCTGATGAGCATGGTTATTGAGCGTACAAGAGATGGGATAGCTTGACCTGCCTCAGCTCTTCTTGACTGCAAGATGGATCTTAGCAAGGTCTACAGCCTCCAGATCTGCAAAGGTAGATCTATTGTTTATTCAGGTATTCAATTAATAGCTTAGCCTGTGGAAATGTGGTCATTTCTATGATGAAAAATAAGTCCTTTATGCATTTCTGTTCTCATGCTTTTTATCTGGCTCAGATCCTTATGCCCAGAGATGAATATCAGTTTCAACTTGCAGCAGAGCAGTTCATAAAACTTCCATTCACACAAGCGCAGTAGAATTTTAAGTTATTCAGGCCTTCTTTGGTCTCTCATTGTAATCTTGCCTGTAGGCATTTGTAGATAATTTCATAATAATGATAAAATAGTTATAAGATGATGATAAGCTAATACAAATCTGAATGAGCAAATACAATATGCCTTATAGTGTAGTAGCAGAAAAAGGGATGGGGCATCTTGTTTGCTCTGGAAGGTATTAGTACTGCTTTTGATAATCACGTCATGGGAATCTTGCATTCTGGTCTGGGTGCCTGATTAACAGGAAGGTGTTGCCAAATTGGAGGCGATGCAGAGAAGAATAGTCGAAAAAGACTGACAAGACCTGAGAACGTGGAATTCCATTTCTCCTAAATGTCTTTGGGTGCCTTTCTTTAATATCATCTTTGTTCTATATGTAACGAAGTATCTGTAGAAGGACAAAGTAATTCTTCTTAGAAAAGTGTAGTGAAATTAAAAAATAGTTTTTTAATTGGTTCTGTTGTTTTTTGTTTTGTTTTTTTTTCCTTCAACTGACTATTCAAGAAAGGTATTCAAGCTCATTCTTTAATCAGTTGTCTTGAGCAGAACCATTTGTAATTTCATATGGAAATAACTGTGGTTTCAGCATATTGCTTGTTATAAGATCACCAATTTATCTTAATAAGGTAGGCTCATTTTCAGAGAACAAGGAGAGAAAGGAACGGAAGAAATGTCAATATGTTTTTATTTTGATCCTCCCAAATCCTAGTCTCAGCATTAGTTCCACCCTGCAGCATCTCCACTAATTGAGAGAAAGTAAACTTAAGCTCTCAACAGATTCACTTCAAATTGCAGGATGTTTGTCTTCCTCAGTGAGAGTTTCATAAGGATTTCATTTTTTTCTGAAGGTGATTGAAGAAATAGAGGAGATGATGCAGGAATCACCTGATCCAGAAGATGATGAAACACCCACCCAGTCAGATCGGCTCTCCATGCTTTCCCAGGAAATTCAGACGCTCAAGAGATCCAGTACAAACAACAGTTATGAAGAAAGTAAGTGGTATTTCTTTAATATTTTGTTCTTATGCTTATTGAAAATAGTTTAATGCGTGCATTTGCCATGTACTTAATTTGTAACAAGTCTTACTTATGAAATACCTGCATGCAAAAATATTTTCAAAATACCATGAAAGTTAAGCTGTAGTTAAAGCATAAATAAAAAATTCACCTCTGTTAACTGATGCACCTTAGAATAAAAATAAAACTTTATAGAATTAAAAATCAAAGCAAATGTGCTAAAGCTTGATTCCCTGGAATTAAGTCCCTTCATAGATAATGAAGGGACTTAACAATAGGTTATTCATTAAACTTTATTAATGTATATATTCTGCACTGTGAGACACTTTCTTGAGGGCAGTATGCTACTTGTGTTTAGCTTTCCAAGAGCTTTAGCTGATCTCCCTGTGTAGTAGATGAAGAAAATATTTTTTCTTTGGGGTTTTCAATCACTTGTCTTGATGCACAGCAACACAGAAGTAAGGAAACCATTGCTTTTTCTGTGTAAGGACCTTGACCATTTCTCTCTTCTCCACTTCCATTCTTCCTCAAAAACATTAAACGGTTTAAAAAAAAAACTTTGCATCATCTTCTGGTCTAAGGAGAAACATCTCTTCTTTCTTATACAAAAACAAAGGAGAGCTTACATTTATTGTTTCCTTGTAATATGCTGAAATATAATTAAAAGAAACCTGTAGCTAACTAACCTGTGACACAAAGTATCTGTTACCAGATCCTCCTATTTCGGTCCGTCTTAGAAAATTTGGTGCTTTCTTTGCTGAAGTCTGGCCTAGCAATAAGTTGTACAGATGATGCAGAAGACTTGTCTGAGATTCCATGACGTGACCCACAATTTCTGCTACATTTCAGATTTATGGAGGAGATTCCTTTTTCATGTTTAGTCTCTTAGCTGTCTCAAACATACATTTCAGGAATGTGAAAGCAAAGTGCAGCTTGTTCCAAAAGATTGCCTACTTTTCTGACAGTTCCATATGCCCTTAGGTTTTGAGCTAATCGAGCTTGCTTTGTATTTCATATCTTATTTATTTTGCTTTGCCTCAGGGGTTCGTCTTTGTTGCTTCTTTATGGCTGAAAGGTCTGTCTTGACCAACTGATGCCTTGAGTTACGTTGGCAGATAGTCTTAACTTTGCGTCACCAGTTCCTCAGGATCTGCTTTCACATCTTTCAGATCACTGTTTTATGGAGAGTTCTTGCTAACTTTTCTGTGTGCGAAGCTTACTCTGGCTTTTGTAGGACAAATCAGGGCTGTTAATCTTTAGGACTGAGAGCAGGAAATCAAAGCTCTCTTTATTCTATTTATTTATTTATTCTCTTATTGGATGGGAAAATACTTGCATTAAAACATTCCAGAAATAAAAACAGTCATAATTCTGGTTCCACAGATAAGCCCTTTAACCCACAAACCTAAGGTATAATCCATGTAGACTTTCTGCATTTGAATTACTCTGTCCTCATTAACTGCATCAGGTGAGTAGTTTCTGTGTTGCCCTTTTGTAGGCTATAATTTTACCGACATATCTGTCGTGAACAAGTGAGGATTACGATGGGGTAACTCTGCCTCTGTCTTTTTTGAACAACTGCTTTTTAGGCTGTCTAGTTGGTTCTTAAATGTTGGGACTCCCTTGTACTCTCTGTTGCTCTTTCAAACAGTCAAACAATAGAGCGGTGCAACTTAATGCATGCTGAAAGTGAAGAGAAATGTTTTTAACTGAACTGCATACTGAATGTGTGTTGCATTTACTCGTATTAATTTTTACCACAGAGTATGCTGAGTTTTACAGACTGGAAGGCCTGTTCTGCTACTTGCACCCAGAGAGCACCAGATAATCTTACCGTTGAGTTTGTCTTTCTCCCTCACCCCCTTTTACGTTTGCATTGACATTGCTGTTTGCTAGCGCTGACAACCAAGAGTTGACTTTGCAAAAAGTTACTGCTGTGGTGAGACCTTCTGTGGCATGCAATAACTGTGACATGGCCCAGATGCTGCGTTACAAGTAGAGGCCACAACCCACGTGCTGCATGTTTAGAATAGTTTACGCAACAGTACAGGCAGCAGACTGTTCAAACTATTTGAAATTTATAGCCTTAAGCATCCTATACTGTTACATTGTTGTAACAGAATTTAAGGCTTGAACTACTCTGAAGATAACTGTGGCTCGTTGCCACAGGAGAGGCAGGTTTCGCTGCCTCTCCTTCAGTAAATAAGTGAAAAGGAGCTTTCTCCAACCAGTTTTCCCTGCTGTAATTTAAGAGATGAAATCTTGTTTCATCTATTACCTTTTGATGCTTCTGACAGCTATGCTTTATAGTAGTTTGTGAGCTTTTCTCTATTTTCCAGCATTTGTCCGTGGGCTTTCCCTTATAACAATTTCGTAGCAAAGTTTACTGGGCTAATTGAACATAACTAAATAATTACAACCATCTATACGGTGTCCTTAGATTATACTCTTCAGTGTAACCAGATCTTTGAGACGATCTATTTCTCAAATGTCAATGAAAAAAATATCTGGCACACCTAGATAAGCTATGTCACATTTAATTGAACAAGTGAGTTCTAGAACAGAAAGTAGCTTCAAAGAACTTTCTCACTCAGCCTCAGCACATTCTTCGTGATAATGATTTCACTGTCTGTAGCATATAATGATAGTACCTTTAAAATGCAAACTAGGGATGTTTATTCTGGTTTTTTAAACCATTATTTTACAGGCTGCAGGCATAGCTTTGAGCATGTCAGCTACTTTTGGCGTAGGCCCTCATTTCAGGGGATGTAAGGCCACGTTTTTTGTTACAATTCCCAGACAAAAAAAGAAGTGACTTTTTTTCTTCTACTAAATGCATCTAAAAAGCTTGTCTTAAAAGTTTGACACAAGCTTTTATTAATTTGCACGTACACCATACCAATATCCCTAAGAAGATTCCCTCACATGTAGAGTATATGTAGTTTCTGTACTATTGCAGGCCATACATTCAAGGATTCTGGAGATATCACAGGATTAATTGTTTTGTCAGAAAATATGAGGACCTTTTATTTTGAAAATGAGTTCAGATGGAAAGTAATAGTTAACAGAGTTGTCAGTATTGTAAGGTGAATGCTTATCTCTGCTTCCTGAAGTACAGAGCACTCTTCATATTTGCAGATTATCTCAGACTTACCAGAAACAAGCAAAAAGTTTAACAGTTTTCTGATTATTAGTCTAGTTTCCTTTGTGATGAGTTTGTTCCTTTAGGAGAATTGTTTTGTTTTATGTAGTTTCAGAATTGAATTTTTGTTTTGAAAAATTTCAGAGCACTTTTCTTCTTGTAATTCCTGCAGGTATTCTCGTGCTTAAAATTCTGACAGATTGCTTTTATATGAACTATTTACAGGAGTAAAAAGATTGTCTGTTGCTGAGTTAAATGAACTACTAGAAGAAATTGAGACTGCCATTAAGGATTATTCTGAAGAGCTGGTACAGCAGTTGGCCTTACGAGATGAGTTGGAGTTTGAGAAGGAAGTGAAAAACAGCTTCATTTCTGTCCTCATTGAAGTACAAAATAAACAGAGAGAGCACAAAGAAACAGCAAAAAAGAAAAAAAAGCTGAAAAATGGTAGTCCTCAAAATGGCAAACAGGAAAGAGGTCATATGCCTGGAACGGTAAGAGTATCTTTTTAACTATTTATACATTCAAAATTTTTGTTTTTCCCTATGGGAAAGCAATACTCCTGGATTATACCAACATATTGGTACACCTTCTTCCATGCCTTCATTTGCAGTCAGGCTCGTGCTCTTTCTTTTGAGATGTTGTTGGCACTTTAGCCTGGAATCAGCATGCCTTTCTTAACAAAACATTGTCTTTGGTTGCAGTGCTGTCTGTGCTCCTTTGTAAGACAAAGCAAACTTATTTGTCTGTTTGGTTTTGCTGTGAGAATGATACTGTATATAGCAGTATTAGTCTTGCAGAAAATTCATTTTCATTGATGTTACTGTACAGATATTGATTAACAGAATCACGGAATGGTTGAGGTTGGAAGGGACCTCTGGAGATCCTCTAGTCCAACTCCCCTGCTCAAGCAGGGTCCCCTAGAGCACATTGCCCAGGATCGCATCCAGACAGCTGTTGAATATCTCCAAGGAAGGAGAGTCCACGACCTCTCTGGGCAACCCTCTGGTTCCAGTGCTCCGTCACCCTCACAGTCAAGAAGTTTTTCCTCATGTTCAAACAGAACTTCCTGTGTTTCAGTTTGTGCCCATTACCTCTCATCCTATCACTGGGCACCACTGAGAAGAGTCTGGCCCCATCCCCTTGACACCCTCCCTTTAGATACTTGTACACATTGATCAGATCCCCTCTCAATCTTCTCTTCTCCAGGCTGGACAGTCCCACCTCTCTCAACCTTTCCTCATACAAGAGATGCTCCAGCCCCTTCATCACCTTTGTGGCCGTTCACTGGACTCTCTCCAGTAGTTCCATGTCTCTCTTATACCGGGGAGCCTAGAACTGGACCCAGTACTGCAGGTGTGGCCTCACTAGCACTGAGTAGAGGGGCAGGATCACCTCCCTCCACCTGCTGGCAACGTTATTCCTAATGCAGCCCAGGATACCATTGGCCTTCTCGGCCACAAGGGCACATTGCTGCCTCATGCTCAACTTGCTGTCCACCAGCACTCCCAGGTCCTTCTCTGCAGAGCTGCTTTCCAGCAGATCAGCCCCGCAGCCTGTCCTGGTGCCTGGGGTTATTCCTCCCGAGGTGCAGGACCCTGTGCTTGCCTTTGTTGAACTTCTTGAGGTTCCTCTTCGACCATTTCTCCAGCCTCTCCAGCTCCCCCTGAGTGGCAGCACAGTCTTCTGGTGTGCCAGCCACTCCTCCCAGTTTAGTATCATCAGCACACTTGCTGAGGGTGCACTCTGTCCCTTCTTCCGGGTAATCCATCGATGAATACATTGAACTAGACTCTGCACCACTGACCACAACCCTCTGGGCTCTGCCATCCAGCCAGTTCTCAATCCCCCTCACTGTCCGCTCATCCAACCCACACTTCCTGAGTTTACCTAGGAGGATGTGATGGGAGACAGTGTCAAAAGCCTTGCTGAAGTCCAGGTAGACAACATCCACTGCTCTCCCCTCATCTACCCAGCCAGTCATAGAAGCTATCAGATTGGCTTCACCAAGGAGAAATCAGGCTTAACCATGCCGACTACTCCTGATCACCTTCTTGTCCTCCACGTGCTTAGAGATGGCCTCCAGGATGAGCTGTTCCATCACCTTTCCAGGGATGGAGGTGAGGCTGACAGGCCTGTAGTTTCCTGGCTCCTCCTTCTTGCCCTTTTTGAAGCCTGGAGTGACATTGGCTTTCTTCCAGTCCTCAGGCACCCCTCCTGATCTCCATGTCCTTTCAAAGATGATGGACAGTGGCCTAGCAATGATGTCTGCCAGCTTCCTCAGCACTCGCGGATGCATCCCATCAGGCCCCATGGCCTTCTTGTAGGTGTCAAGTTTGCCTAAATGATCTCTAACTCGATCCTCCTTGACCAAGGGAAAGTCTTCCTTTCTCCAGACTTTCTCTCATTTCTCCAGGGTCTGGAATTCCTGAGGGCTGGCCTTAGCATGAAGACTGAAGCAAAGAAGGCATTCAGTATCTCTACCTTCTCTGTATCCTTTCTGCTTATGTTTGAGTTTTGTCGGGAGTTCCCTGCTCATTCGTGCAGGTCTCTTGCCCCCTTTGCTCAACTTGTTACTCATAGGGATGCACTCGTCTTGAGCCTGGAGGAAGCCCGGAAAGAATGCTTCAGTTTAACTTCAGAAGATGATATTCCAAAGTGTGAGGGATAAACATTTTTAAAGAAACTTTAGCTCTTTGGAAACTTTGCCTAAAGTTAGAATAAAATAACTGTGATGTAACCCGAATGTAGTTCTGATCTTGTCTGTCTCCTCTGAAAGACAGGTCCTAACAGAAAGCAGGACTGATTTCCTGGCTGATCTTAGACCAACTGATACATTTGTTGTGACTTGTGAAAAGGAAAGAATAATGTGGACCTGGTTTATTAACCATTATGTAAAGATCTAGACATTGTTTACTAAAATTAAAGCGTTCATCTTTTTAAACTTTGATCCACACAGGGGATCATGCTAATCTTTATCATTCTGCCACCTAAGAACTCAAACAGTGTGTTTACTGTAACTTAATGCATTGTGATCACTCAATCATAATGCATTAGGTCATTGCGTGTGCAAAACAGAAAAGATTAAAGTAAAACTTACAGAACTTAATTCTAGAGGTTAAGAAGTTTTACCTCATACCTGCTGTTAGCTAGAAGTTCATGTGTGCTCTGAATTGTGAAGTGTTCCAAGATCTATGTGAAGGTAGGCCCTTAGAATCATAAAAGTTTTGGGATGCGAAGACCGGTTGAGGTGAATCTTAGTATTCATAAGGAGGGCATTATGAGAGCATTTTATCCCCCAGTTGTCTGTAAATGACTAGGATTTGAAAACCTATACCAGGCTTAATGAAAAGTCATCCCTTGTGTACCTACTAAGTTCTAACAGAACTTCAAGAAACAAATTGTGCGTCTGGAAAACAATAAAAAAATTGTCATTCCTTTGCAAGAACAAATTGAAAAGGTCAGATGTTCTCCTTTTTGGTTCTGAGTCATGAAAGAACAAAAAGTGGTATTCTAACTAAAAAAAAAAATTGTTTTGTTTTGAACTTGAACCAAACGATTCATAAACTGTTCTAGTTATTTTCAAATTTAGAGATTTGATGCTTTGAAGTATCAATATATGTAGTTCCACTATAGGACATTATTAAATTTAATTGCTTGAAGATATGTGTCAGATCATCTGCTTTTTCGGATGGATTGAACAAATTAGCTCCCATAGAAGATTATAGGCTCAGCATGCATGGTTCCTTTGAAAAGAGCTTCCACTAATATTAAAGAAAGATTCAGGAACCTTCAGCTGGAAATAGATAGCTGAGAAAGTTTCTGTTCTAGTAATAATGTTTAGTAACTGCAATTAACAGAATTTCTATAGTAAAGTGTCATTTAAATACAAAGCTTGGAAGCAGGGTTAAATTTCATATCCTAAGAAAATCAGTTTTACTATAGATGCTATATTTGAAGTTTAACAAATAGAGTTAGCTATTCTAATTCTTTTTCCTTGGTGCAGGCTTTGGGTAAATCGCTTTTCCGTCTATTTCAAAAAATGTTTTTATTATTTCACAAGGGCACATTGGGGAGCAATTAAAATTATTCAGGGCTTGAAGATACCAGTTACTTTAAGTAGAATGTCCTAAAAGAGTTAAGATGGCTTTAGAGCATCGTGTGTTTGTATTTACTGACCTCGTGTTCAAAAATGCAAAGGAATATTGTATTTCAGTGCACTTTATTCTCTCTCCCCAAAAATAAATACAGTTGGATAAGTATGCTGAGGTGTGCATGTCAGTAGCTTAACAACTTCTTATGCTCTTATCAGTTGCTGAATCTTATATCTCATGTAAAACCTTAGAATTGTTTGGATCTGTTTTATACTTGTTTTGTCCGCCAAGCAAAAATGATCACAAAGTGCAAAAGAAAAACAGTAGTTGAATTATAAATTTTTCTTCACTTGTATGCCATATATTTTAATGGAGCTTAAAATTAACTACATGCTTTATCATAGCATGAAAGAATTGGGAATATAGTTTGTAGCTAATAGTTGTTTCTGTTGTGGAGAAAGAAGCATGAAAGCATAAAATTCTTTGAAGAGGTAGAGGTGAGAATGACTGCCTCTAAACAGTGTTTCTGATAGGTGCTTAAAATCTGAAAGATTAGTGTCAGTAATATCTCTGAAAGCATATTGCTCAAATGCTAACAGAGACCATTCTCAGAACTAAACTTTGAAAAATGTTACTTCATATATTTAAAAACAAAACAGCCTCAAAGCATTTTTAAAGCACAAATCAGATTAAGTAATAAAATACATTTTTGGATCTTCAATGTGAAGGTTTTGTTTATTTAAATCTTGATATAAAAACACAATTTAGCTGATTCTATGAATGAACAAGCAGAAGAAATGTGCTGAAATACATCTTACAGCTTGTCTTTGTCAATCATCTTACTTTTGTAGTCTTTATAAGTGCTCACTAATAGTCTTCTGAACTTTTCTCTGTCCCTTTTTTTTCCTCTCTGCCATGTTCTTGCTACCTTTAGCGCTTCAGCATGGAAGGGATCTCAAATGTCATACAGAATGGCCTCCGCCACACGTTTGGAAACTCAGGTGGAGAGAAACAGGTGCTGGGCTATCCGCTCTCTTTTCTTCATTCTTTGCTTGCATTGTTGGTAGGCGCTGAGATCTTGAAAATTGACAGTTATATTACGTATAGGCCAAAAGTAAATGCTGAAATAGGGGAAAAAACAGAGTAAATATGTTGATACATGTAATCTTACCCTGCCTCAAGACTGTGGTCAGCCTACAGTCTCTTTCTCTCCTCAACAGCTTGAGACAATTAGGACTTAATGTCCTGATGCACTGAAATAATAGCTTTTGTTTGCTACCCAAGAATAAAAGTGAGTTTTGGCATAATACATGCTTAAAGTACACTGCATATGTATGAATATCTAACGTCCAAAATAAGGATATATATCAGGTTATAGATTTCATTTCAGCCTTCAGCACTGAGGACTTGGGTGATGTCTGATACGGAAAACAGAGCTTGGTTGTTTTTTGGGCTTATTTGTGTGTTTGTGTTTTCTCCCTTCTAATGTTCAGAGCTGATGTTTCTAAAAACAGTAGCATCTACACATGTGCATGAACTGTATGTCTTTTTGTCTTTGAAAACTACGTCTTACTAAAAGCAGCCAATTGTATGCAATGGAGATTATTGAAATACATACATACATATATATAAAAAATATAAGTACATTAGCTAAAGGTAAGTTTTTCTTGACTAATTAAATGTTGACATGTGCAGTACAGAAGCCAAGCTTTAGTGAATATCTGTGTAGATGTCGCATATAGCTAAATAACATGATTTTTATTCTGTGTTTCAAAGTAATACTTGTTTGTTTCAGTACTGCAATATTTATAAAGTACATTCTTTATTGTGGTAAAGTGCTGATGTTTATGCTATTGTTAGGCTTTTGGCACACATACTAAAAGTGTTGGTATTTAATGTTTAAGTATTCAAAAAGATGGGGTGTTGTGAGGAGGCTAGTCTGTGCGCTTCATTGGTAGTAGAAAACATCTCTAGTTAGATTTTTATGGGAATTGATTTTTTTTTTTTTCCCCTTAGTCATGCTGTCCTATTTTCCAGTAAAGACCAAGCAGTTTGTCCCAGGTCATCAAAAACTGTAGGACTGATAAAAAGAAAATGAGGCAGACTGTGCTTTCTGGATTTCATATGTAGTATATTTGTTCGTAGTAGTGGATCCATTTATCGTTTAGGGTGGCTTAAAAAAAAAAAAAGATTTCTGGAAAGTTATACAACACAAAATACACAGTGCCGATATCAAGTAGTCACAGTAATCACAGTAGTAGTCAAATGCAGAATAGGAATACATAAATGTTTTTATCTTGGCAATCTGACCATTTAGGGCAGGAGAGAACTGTTGTTTTAATGCTGCAAAGTGCCTGAAATGCAAATTTTAGTAACTAGGTAAAATGCACAGTAGTACTTCTGTTCCTTAAGCCCAGAAAGATATTCAAGCCTTCGTTTCCCCCCAGTGAGTAACGAATATAGCTGACTTGGTATGACGACAAACTTGCCAGAATTTCCTGTATTGCAGGTATGGAGGCAGATGGCCACATGCTATGGAATGCTGCTATTTTCTGGAATGCACCTTTAAGTCAGGCAACCAGATGATTCTGCTATATCGTTGATTGTAAAATGCCCTTTGTCACTGTGGCGGGATGGCAGATATGCTGAGATGCTCTGACGTGGTGACATTTCAGTGATACCTTATTGTATTCAGCTATCATTTCAGCAGTATAAATTGTATGTATTTTATATGAATCTGCTCTGAAATAGATCATATAGAGAGAAGTTTGCGCAGACGTTGGATATCTTCAGAGACATGTTCTTGTTCAGTATTCTGAAAATGAGACAGCATGTATTTGTATTTGATGCATTGTTTACTTGGTGTTCAAAAAATATCCGTGTACTTACCCATTGTAGTTTGCATAATTGCGTGAGAAGAGTAGGTTAGATTTTTTTTTCTGTTGAGGCTACAAACTACCAGTAGCTTAAACGTCATCACTGATTGGGCCTTTGCCTGGGAGGAGGCTGGAGTATCCTGCTGAGGGGTTCAGGAGATAAATGATTGTTCTCAAGTCATTCCTGAATCACAACATTATAAATCAGGGGATTATCCTCTTTCTCAAACAAGGTTCATGAATACATAGGTCTAGTTTTTTTTTGTCCTCAACTTCAGGGAGCCTGAACACATTCACAGAACTACCCCAACAGAGTTTTTAGCGCTCTACGTAATCTCAGTTCTGGTTGAGTTTTAGCTGTACTGTTTTGTTTTTGTTTTTCCCTTGCCATTTTATATTATAATAATATATTGCAGCCATTTACCTATATCTGTAGTAGTTTTTAAGCATCATGTATTTTCAGAAAGGGAATATGCTCAGCCATGCTAGTCCCTCTTACTTTTGGTTCCCAATGACTTCTGTATACCTGCCTTTCTGCAAATGCACCCCCCCCTGCCCCCCATGGTAAGGATAATCCTTTTATTAACATTATCATTGATATGGTAAGTGTTCTGATCAGTTTTCCAGCTAATGTGCTAATGCTCTTTTTCATGATGATAATGCTTTTTCCATAATTTACCTTGTGCTATATCTTTGTTAAGGCTTAAGGTTTTTTGCCTTCCTGTATCTTAAAGCCAACCATGGATATAACAAGGCCTTAAAATGAAAAATAGGGGAGAAAGGTAGGAACGAATGTTATTCGGCTGTTTCCTGGCTTAGTCCTGGAAAGCCAGGCTTGTATGGGATTTGTGTGAAGTCTGTTGATTGAAGGTTATTTGTTTTGTTTGTTTTGGTCACATTACTAAACCATGGCCCTGCTTTTAAAATTCAGGTGTTATTCTCTTACTGCAGGAAGTTACAAAGTCAAAACGTTATGATTAGATGCTCAGATACAGTTGAACATCTTAATTTTTTTTAGTGCTAGTTTTAAAATATGCATTTGAATGTTATTCTGGGTGGGCTGTCATTATAGCTTCATATCCAGGTTTTTTCTGCTAGCTAATAAACTCTCTGAAGTAATATTAAAAAAAAAAAAATTTGAAGATAAAATTAACAAGTACAGGAAGTTTCCATTTGGTGTGCTTTAGAAGCTAGGCTTTCAAACACATGCAGTCACGTGTCAAAGTTTATGCTGTTGGTTCGGTTATTTCAGAACTCTTTGTCATTAATTTTAATGGTATTTAACACCTTTACTATTTTCTGGGTAGTATTACTCTGGTAGGTGCCTTCGTGTGTGGGAGGGTTTTTTTTGTTGTTATTTTGAAAAATAAGGGACACTGACTTAGAATTTTTCATCATCTGCACTGATAGTGAAATTTAAAAAGAAATTTCCAATAGGAAATGACAGTTACAGAAAATACAGCCCTTTTTCATCTGATATGCCATTGGTATTACTTACTTCCAAATACATTAAAAATCACTGAAATGTTGGCAGTTCCTTCTGTGATCATATTTCCAGAATAAATTTCAAGATAGTCATTTTGCTTTTCAGGCATCTTGTGTACTTCTTATGAGTGATTTAAAATTACAGTGGAGGTGCTGCTTATCGTATGGCCAAATTTGTTTCAAAATTTTACAAATAACAGTAGACTTAACACTTGAGTGTGTCAGCAAGCTGTAGGATAGACCCTTCCCCCCCCTCCTTTTCATAACATTATCCTTCACATAGCTATTCCAGGAATGAGTTTTAAAGTACTGCTGTAAAGCCTTATCATTGTTAATATCCCAGCATCCAAGTATGGATGACAAAAATACGATGATTTTGGAAATTAAGAGAGAAATTGCTTAATCCTTTTTTTCATTTTAAAGGAAAACTTATGGAGAAAGGTGGATTTTTTAAAGCAGAAAGAAAATAGGGAATATGTATTTGGTGCAGTGAAACATTTCCCGGTAACTTATGGCCTAGGTAAAGGACGAAATGCCACTTAGTTCTGAAGGCTGGGAATCACAGCTTTTTGATATCTGATTTCTGAGTTAGATTTACTTTCATCTCTGACATACGCAGATTCAACAGCCTTATCTAGCTCTTGTTTCAGTTAATTTTGGGAAGAATATGAATTTCTATTTTGTGATACCTGTTGGTTACATCCATGGGAAAAGAAACTGAAAATTGCCTCTTGGACAGTTTCCTAAGAAGCGTTGCATGTTTTCCTCTGCAGTGCCAAGTGGATGTGAGAAAATGCTAAAGAAAAAGGGAGGAAATAAAAAGCCATGTGTTTTCATAATGTTTTGGTGTCAGTACATCCATGCAATATGTTCCCTTAAGTTATATGCAGCAGAGTCTGTCTGGCTTTTAGACAGAGGATATGACTGGACATGAGGTGCATGATCCCCCTCTAAATATGCCTACAGTTAAACCCTGTTGGCATTAACTCTCGGTCTGCAAGGTGAACCTATTCACAAGGAGTCTGAATTACCCTTGCCCTTGCTGAAGTGCTACTACTGGGTCTGAAGAAGGAGATGTATTTTCTGACTGTTACATGGAGATTGAACCATATCTCTCTTGACTTGAATGAGAGAGAGAGAGAAGGTTGTTTTATCTTCTGTCTTATATCTCTTAACCCAGAAAAAAGTTCCCCTGAAATTCCCCTGAAAATTAAATTCGGGGAGATTTCAGAAAGCTTTTTTCACTGAGGAAAATTCCAGTGATTTCAGGACTTTTGAAATGCTTCTTTTAGAAGATTATGCATTCATACAGGCTGCAAAGTAAAATGGAGCCTAAATGCACTTAATAAAAATCTTAAAATAACAATAAAAGTTGCTTCAGTAATTTGAAAACAACTCTTAATTGCACTCCAGATATGAAAGTCCTGAAAGACTTAAGAAAATTTTTACTTTGATTTTCTTTGGCAAAGCTGAGAATGAACGTTTTCAAGGGTAAATGGAACAAAAGTAGAGATAATTGGAGGCAATCTGTTAGCATACATCTTGACTATTAAAATTGAGAATTTAAATAAAAATCCAAATGATGGGCTATCATGGTTTAGTTAGACTTGTCTTGTTCCTTTTGGTTAGAAGTATAGGGGATCAGTATATGAGGACTATAGAACAGCTTCAGAGATGGTGGTAGGGAATGCTCTTTGATCTGTCAGAATCCTAGGAGTGTTTCACATACTTAATAAGAGTTGAGCAATCATTGAGAAAAATCCCGTGGCTGTTTTGAGACTGTCCAAACAGTGTATGCCACGTTTGAAGATTTTTTCAAATACTTGTTATCACACTTATACAAACCTGAGCAGCTTACCTTATGCACCCATATAGCCTCTATCTGTTTTGCCTGTTATCTTTTAAAAAGCTGAATGTTATCAGAGTTTCACAAACAATTTCAAAGCAACATAAATAAGAACTATTTCCATGGAAAGAATGTTATTTTAATGTGGTTACTGGAAAGAAGGAATTGATTTCAGATTTTGACACGGCCAGTATCACTTGCTTGATTTTTTTTTTAAGTTTTTTGGTGATTTTTTTTTTTTGAGTAGGAGGGAGAGAGAACATGTGAAAATTATTCATCTACATTTATAGTGTTGGAAGCTGTTGTTGGAGTGGGAGGTGATGGGAAGGTTGTTCTTTCAGCTTGTGTATATTTAAAGTACTTCTTACAATATTTCCTGGAGGACTTCTGGTTGATGACTTTATTTTTAGGGTAAGAGAAGAGAGATTTTTGCCATTGGTGTGCTTAGGCTTTGAGGGTGAAACGCAACAGAGAAACTTCTTACTGTAAAAAGCTCCAAAAAATTTAATGTTTACTTCATGAATTTTAAAATGATCTTTCCATGATTTGCCAAGAAACAGAAGTTGGCTGCTGTGAGATTAGCTTTGAGATGAGAGAGGTAGAATCTTAATGTCTTGTAAAATACGATATTTTGAAAAGCTTTTATTTGTGGCTAACAATTTTAATTGCTGCAATTTTTGAAAAAGAAATTTCAAGCAACATAAATTACATAAAATAGCTGTCAAGTAACTCTGTTTTTCATTTGACAGTATTTAACAACCGTCATTCCTTATGAGAAGAAAAATGGACCCCCATCTGTTGAAGATCTTCAAACATTAACCAAAAGTGAGCATATGATGTTCCCCACTCATTCTTTCCTCCTTGTATTGCCAACTGTTGTTGCTCAAAAACAATGAATCGTTCAATTATCTTTCCCTCCTACCCTATGTCATTTACTTACAATAGCGTGATTTTTAACTGTGCATCTTGGCTGGTCTTTAATTGTCTTAGGGATTGTTTTCATCATATTTTTCTAGCTGTTCTTTGAAACCCTGAAGGCTAGAAACTTGTATGTATCAAAAACCAAAGGTTCTCATGTTACTTCAACCGCTGGAGCTTTTTGGAAACGCTCTATATCATCAAGTTGGCAATACTGTCTCCCTGCTGCCCTATAGTAGCTGATATTTTCCTGTTTGTTTAAACTGACTGTGTGTTGTTGAGGTTATTATATAGTAGCAAGTTCTGAAAATTAAAATGGGTGTTGGGACACTTAAAATTAGCCATCTAAAGGTTATATTTGGGTACCTTTAAAATAGCCTGCTTGTCTCTGCTTTGTGGGTTAATAAATTACAGTAATTTCAGAATATAAACCAAGCCTGCGTTTTGACAGTGCTTTAAATACCCCTGTTAAATTAGGTTCTTTTAGCATTCGTTAGGCTAGATTCTCAAAATTACTTATAAAATCTAAGTCCTCTCTGTGTTACTTTAATTGGCGTTAAAATTAAGGTTATTTTTAAAAAATCATTAATTATTGCGGTGATTAAATATAGCAGAGTATCTCTGGGATTATGGCATCTCTCTCATTTGAAGTTTGTAGGAGCAGGTTAAAGAAATAGGTGGTGGAACGCCATTTGACCAGATTTCGGTGCAGGGCTTTGGATGTAAAGAACTTCTTAAGGTACTTTCGAGCTACACAGGTCTGTTGCACCACTGGTGGCTGAAGGATGGGGGAAGGTTGTTTGTATGTTTTCTTGAAAGATAAATTAAATATGGGATACATTCTGAAGTAAATGAAACATTTAAACAGAGAATTTAGATTCTTTATATCTTTCTGCACAGGCTCTCTTAGCTGGGAGTTTGTAGTTACACTGTAACAAATATATTTTTTGTGTTTACTGCTGCAGAGAAGTTTTATCCTTTCGTTATATTTAAATTTCACTTGAAGCTATTGCCAGCTGTCGACACTAAACAGAAAAAAAGGCAAAAGCATTCTGAAAGTGAATTCTGTTGTTTCATTGTTTATTAACAAAATGACTTGTACAAATACACTGTAAAGAGTATTAACAGTATTGCCTTCGGTGGATTGGTTGAAACTTGATCCTCGCGTTCAGTTGCAGACTCGTGTTTTGTGCTGCTGTTAGGCAGGCATTAAAACAGTTTTATTTATAAACAGATTTGGAGTTTATGAAGTATCTCTGTGTGCTATGATTTTTGTGCTTTTGATTCTTTCAGTCACGTTGAGAATATTTCATAACAAATTGGAATGACAGACAAGCTTACACGTGTCGAGTTGCTTAATGCTGTACCGTCTTAATTAAAAAGATCATGTTCCATAAACTAGTGATTAAAAATATTTCCTGATGTTTTGTAGCATGCATACCTAGAAAGTGATTCTGTCTCTCTCAAAACATAAAACAGATATTGCATATAAAATGAGAATCTTCTTGTTAATGATCAGAATGTTCTAGTATCAGCCGTGGAACATGCTCATGAGAGATCTACAGCCGGCAATTACACGGGATCGGTGGTGTTTGCCAGTAAGCTGTTTAGTGTACTCTGATTAAGAGTGCTTGTCCAGATCTACAAGGCTTTTTGGCTCGTCAGTGTAGTTTTTAAATTAATTCCTTGCGAGCTAATATTTGTTGCTGGTAACAGCTGTTGAAGAAGGCAAATTCATCCCTTTGAAATACTTGAAAATTGTGAACGAACAAGAGCTTTAAATGCTTCAAAATAAGAATACTTTCAGGGTACTAGGAAAGTCTGCTGAAGTCAATGCAGCATCCTCTTAGAGAAAGAGAGCCCAGTATTTTCTAAACATTTTTTGTTATTTAAAAAAGGGAATGCTGTTTATGATCAGTCTTAATTAAATTCTTCAACGCCGAATGTCTTACGTATTCTGGAAGATCTTAGTTTTAGTAATTGCTACTGGGTATAGCAAACTAAGTAAAACTATGCTGACTAGAGAAGTATTATGCAAGAATCCTCTATCAGCGTTCTCCTGAAATGTTGTATTCTTTATACCTTCTTGAACTGTCCAGAGACTAATTAAAACTTTTTATCATTCACACCATGTGTTTTGAACAAATGAAAAACCAAAAGATCTCTCTTTTTTTATAAGCTCAGATCCCTTTAAAAATAAATCCGCAATGATTCGTTCTTGTTTTGCTGGAGCAGTAAAGGGCAATGTATTCACATGTGGAAAAGAAAAACTCTAAATACTAAGTGAAGCTGTGCGTCATTCTGAAACTCATGGCCTTCAGTAGTCAGACTTCACTCAGGTTATTTTCAGGCTTTTATCTGGAGTAGGAAACTTTTTGTGAGCATAAAGGGAAATTTGGCACCTAAATCACATTCAGAATTAGCTTCTTTTGAGTCTTTGAGAAGACTAGAACTGGTCAGTGGAACAGACTCTCAAAACAGTAGGTAATTTTGTTACTTATATCACCTTCTTTGTTGTGTAGGAAAACATATGCATCACCTGCTCTAGAGTACTTCAGGCATATGTAACCTAGCTTCAATTCAGAAAGTCAAAGTTTTGGAAAACTTCAGTTTTCTGCATACTGTTTGGAAGGAGATAGGGGTTTTTCAGAAGGCTGCTTAGACTAGGTATATTGAATACTGAAGCACAGATGCACGTAAAACATCAGTTACAGAGGTTTTCATGCCAAGTACAGTGTGACAGATATATACGTGTCTTAAAAATGCTTCTTCCTTTTCAGTCCTTAGATGATTATTGTTTACTTCCATCATGTTCTGTTTCAGACGTGATTCTCTTTGGAAAGTTCAAGCTAGCAAGTTTGTTCTTGCTTAAGAGTTATTCTAAAAGCTTTTTCTCCTTCAGAAATGTCAATTCAAAATTAATCATGCTTGCATATAAATCACGAAAATGGCACTCTGACATTATTCTCAGTAAATTCCAAACTCAGTAATGTATTTTAAGGCTTTTCTAGGCTACAGCTGGTAACATTCACTGTTGCTGAAAAAACATTTTCATCAGCTCATTTACAGCAGTGTTTCTTCAGAAAAGTGATGTTATTGTATGATTCGGGAGTGAAGATCAGAGAGAGAATTTAAGTAATGGAGCCTGCTTTTCTTATCTGAGATCTCCAGCCTTCCAGCAGTTGCTAGTACAATTCAGTTTTGGATACGGTGACTTTCTTTTGAAGAGGTTTTTCGTGGGGAGAAGGGGCTTTTCTTGTTTTTTTGTTTCTGGTAAAATACAGTCAGAAATGCTAAGAAAGCTCTCTCCTTACCCTCCTTGCGTAAATGTTTGATTGCCAGATATGGAGTTGCAGTCCTCACTACAAAACGTGAGGAAAGATTAAATGTCAATGTGTTGGAAAACTGACTTCTGTAGTCAAATCTGAAGTACGGTGAAAATAGTAAGGTAAAGTAAAAATAGTTAAAGCCTTGGCAGACCTCATAGAATTTAATAGATTTTGAAGCCGAGGACAAATTGGCCTCATAAAATTAACTGATGGGGAGAATAACAAAGAAGTACAAAACATTAATGGGTTTATAATTGCAATATAAAGTTAAAAAGAATTCTGACTGTAAGTATCCTATTTTAAAATTCCTAAATGTTGCCACCTGTGAAGTAGAACAAGGAGAAAATATTCATACCTTTTTTCTATGTTAAATAGTTCTTTTTCTCATAGTGCATGGAAATACATGAAATAGAAAATGTAGTTTCCTTCAGCTGTTAGAGAACAATGAAATATTAAGTGTAGTATTTTTAGGTTGGTGACATTTGCCGTAGTTACTTAACCATGGGAAATGGGTCGCTTGCATCCACCTACTGTGGAGTTCAGTGAGAATTATACAAGTGAAAGGTGCAGATGTTGCATGTCATGGTACGTTCTGATATTGCAGCTAAGTGTTCTCTAGCTGATCTGGTAGTAATATCCCTATGAATAGTTGAAACAGCTTCACTGTGTTGTTTTTTCAACAGTGATGTATTTGATTTCTGAGTCAATACCTGAATTACTGTTTTTGTCTTTATCTACTTTAGTCCTTCACGCCATGAAAGAGGATAGCGAGAAAGTGCCAAGCTTGTTAACAGACTATATTTTAAAAGGTGAGTGTGATTCTTAGCTTGTAGTCATTAACAAGGATCTTTTATTTTAAATTGATGTGGATACAATATGTGTTTGAAAAAGAGTAGTCCTGCAGCACTCATGAATTATGTTATCTTTTTTTCAAATGAGCTCTCACTTAGATTTTGTTACATTCCTGTCAGAGATTTCTGAGCATATAGTTCATAAATGAAACATTGTGTTGATCTTATTTGTGATAGTATAAAATAGCAAAAATATGTGGCATATTTTCAATTAGCTGAAGGATATCAATAGCAGCAGAGCAGTCTGATTTACAAAGTAAAGTGGTTTAGTTAAAAACATGTAATGTACAGATTTTTCAGAACCAGAACTCAAACTGCCTATGGTAATAATGCATTTGCTAACTGAAGTGCTTATATCCTTGTTAAAAAAAGAAATGATACCTTCTGATCAATAGGAAAATCATACTTACTTTACATGTTATAAGGCTTATCTACTAATCTTTTTTGGTTTTTTTGCTCTCTGATGTATCGATTATACTAACAGAGAGAACCACTTATATTAATGAGAACCACTGCTGTCTTGAGTTTTAAGGAAATGTTCCAGATGGTTTCCACATTCTTAAATTACTTCTAAGCATTTTTTCTTGTGATTTCATTTTCACCAAGTTTATACTAATGCTTATGTTCTCGCTTAATTCTTGGCATAGAAATGGTCCCATCTTCTTTAGTTTTTAAGGCTTAGCATGTGCATCAGAACTCACGAGGTCTAGACAAGCAGGTGTACAAAAGGAAGGATGGATGCCTTTTGCTTTGCAGCCCAAATATTCGTTATGTTCTGCTTCAAGTTCGTATGATGCTAAGTCATTATCTTCATTTGGTATCATGTTTTCCAGGTTTCATTATTTTTTTCAAATATTATCATTTGACTTACTCCTTCCGTATGATTTCTAATCACTCTCATCTTGCAGGCATTTGAAAGTACCATAAGTTTAAAGATGTAGATAAAATTTAGTGTGCTGTTAGCCTCAAGAATACCCAAAAGAGGGCTACACGGTATTGTAGAAACTCTGACAGGCTTTCTCTTGAAAGAGGACCATTTCTGTAGCTTAGCAGAATGACTGTGGTAGAGTAAGAGCGTGGAGATGGAGATCCTTTCAGTTGATCCCCTTGATTGTTCTAGTTTTTACTTACCCTTTTAAAAATCCTTCTTATGTTAGATAGATGTTTTTGCTTATTGCCTTTTATAGAGCCCCCTACTTTCAGGCGTAGCTATCCAGAAAAGCTTTCAGATTACTAGGATAGTGACTAAGGAACTGGCTGCCTAAGGAAACTGAGGAATCTCCTGCATAGAAGACTTTTTATAAGAGCAGATTAGCTGAACCCATGACAGGATGATCTAGTGAAGTTTGATATTGTGGTCCCCTCCTACCTCTGCCTCTGCGTGCTCATGACTTTAAAATGACCAGGGATGTTCTACCAGCTGGTTACGACAATTACAAAAACATAATGCTCATTAAATATGTCAGATCAGATGGCTCTTTCATCACTTTCTGAGAAGCAATGTTGCTTTTAAATTGTAAAACAGAAATGGCTGGAGTGCAAAAAGTAACCTTTTGCCACTGTCACTTGATGCTGAAAGGAAAAAGGATTTTTTTTTCCCCCTTTGCTACCACAGTTTTATTACTGAACGAAACTAATGTTTTCTTGCTCTTCTGTGGGTCTGCGCTACAGCCATCACAGATATACAAAATAGTCAGCACAGAGCTTCATGTTGCTGTGTTTAGATTGCATAAATACTGCTAGCCCAGCTGGCAGTGTTACATTGCAGTGCATGAGTATCCTGTGGAAGATGCAAAATCTTCCAGCTGTTTCTGAAGTTGCAGTCTGCTTCTCTCCTCTTCCTGCCACTAAGACATCCAGCCTCATGTCTCATTGATGCTTCCTACATGGCATAGCCGCCTGTTTATTTTCTGGAAGTTATTTTTAAAGACAGGTAGGGGCAGGGGGATTAGAAGTTTCAAAACAATCGCTTGAAGCAACTTTCACCTCAGCATTTGTACCTGCAATTCCAACTTACTGACTGAAATTCGAAGTAAAATGAGTGATCTGCTTTTTGAAGGATCTGTTCTCTTCACTGAGAAAGCTTAAGATGTATTGGCGAGGTGAAAGTGTTTGTGAGGACTTAGGGTTTTGAATTTGTTTTCCAAAAGAAGCAGAAAGATAACCGTTTCTAGGCCTTCCCAGTCTTCAGACAAAAGAGCGGGCATGTATATGTATATGACAATAGGGCAGATGTAGCTTTATCAGGAATTCCGGCTAGTATGGGATCTTGTCAGCAATTGCAGCCTTCTTTCTAGCTTTAGCATTTCTAGCGTTTCACACAGAAAAAAGAAAAAAAGAATCTTTTGGAAGTCCTTAACCATATTTTTTAAAGCAGCAGATTAATTTTCTAAATGCTATGTTTTTACAAAAAAAAAAAAAAGTCTAAAGCTAGTCTAAAGCTGATCCCTTCTGTGTGTTATGGCTGTCCACAGAATTAGCAGTGATCTTGTCCAGATACTGTCAATTACTGTTGAGAAGTTATTTAGATTGTTTAGAATCATACATTGAAGAAAACTATGAGAGGAAAAATGTGATTCTAACAATTGCCATAGGATCGTTCCCATAATATAATGGGACAAATAAAGTGTTGTGAACATTGAAAAATAAATGGAACCATAAGATCGAGCAGCAAGTGTTTGTTTAACAAGAAACCTTGCCAAAATCACTGCTGCTTTGATAGAAACAAAAAGTGTATTAAATTTATCTCTTCTGAATTTCATGAAGCGTTTTATAGAAATGTCACCATCTTGAACATCTTGAACAGATCTAAATGAGGATACAATTCTCAAATTTGTGAGACACTAAATTTGGATCATGTAGGAAGACCCACAGTGTTTATTGCCTAAAGTTCACTATCTTCATTTAATGATGATTGAGTCGGTCTGTCTAGGCAAGGCAGTTTGGTCAAAGAGCTAGGGCATGGGACTGGAACTGGAGACTTCTATAACGAGATCTGCCAACCTCCCGTGTCACCATGGGCTAAAAACCTGGAAGTAAAAATCCTTAGAACAAGGCTCAATTGCCTGTAGAAACGTAGCATAATAAAGAAGCAAAAAAGGCCAGTGCGACTCAGCACTGTTTACACATAGGCATTATGCTGTTTGTGCTGGGGGAGGGGTATCTATATGCATTTCCAAGTGAGATTATTAGTTTTAAAATAGTTGGTAGTGTTTACATGTTTAAGCATCCTCTTTTCCCAATTTCTGCTGCCCTCTTGTGTCCCCCAAAATGTTAAAAATGCTATCCATTCCGTTTGTCCTCATACTCAAGTCCCTTTTTTCCGGTGATCAGTTAGTTCTTCCCAGGATCTTTTCCACAGGGAATGTGTCTTCAGATGTAAATTCCCAAAGGTGGACCGGGTACACATTGCAGGTAGCCTTGTACAGTTTGTGCTGCTTTTGATGCAGCCTAAATTTATGTTGGAGGAGGTTTTTGCTTTATGGAGTTTTCTTACTCCTTTTTACTTTGCAGATAGCATTTTCATCCTGAAGTTAGTAATAATGAAAGGGAGTTAGTGATTTGCTTTGCAAGCTTATTGTAATTCTTCCCCCCACCAGGATACGATTCATGTTATAATTTGTAGATTTAGAATAGGGTTATATGGTAACATGGAATTGATAAGTATTTGCAACTGTGCATTAATTTTTTTGAGTATAATTATCTTAATGTGTTAATATTGCTACTGTGCCTTATCCCTAGGGATCGTGAAGTAGAAAATTTGAGATTTGAGAGAGGGTGGGGGAATGCCTTTGTTGATAAGGAAAGAAGTATCAAACCAGTATTAAGAAATTCTTAATTTAGAAAACATATTTTCAGATTGAAGCTGGCAGCCAAGTGAGCTACCTGTATTTAAATGCTGTTTATGCTTGTCTTTCTACTGATCTTTTTTGATAGCTTAACAAATATAATGTGCTTTGAAAACATTGTTTCCATTAAAAGATCTACACAAGCAACAGGGAGCACAGATATCTCTTCTAGTTGCATTCTTTTTAGGTGTCAGACAACCTCAGGTACCAGGTCTTTAGATGAAAGCACGTGTGTATTGGCAGTATGCATTTAACTTTTTTACAGAGACTGTCTGTCTTTCCCTTGATGCATTATTGAACTTGACAGATAAATCACACTGCGCAAAGTAGCATCTTTCTGTAGTTTTTAGAAGTATGCACATCTAGACTTCTTTCTGAACAAAATGCTGCTATGCAGTCATGTTGTCTATCTTTTCAGCCTCATAAATACTGTTTGCCAGTTTCAATGCAGCTTGACAGAAAGAAAAGTTAGGACTTTCTGCTAAAAGCTGAAAAAAAAAAAACCCCAGATTTTTGTTTTAAATTAATGAAGCAAGAATTTACCTCTTGTTCTTCTTTTAAATTTTGCAAGTATTTCAGATAACGAGAACATTTGTTTTCTTATCTTTGAAATTTTTCTGTTTAATTGTTACACCTGACTTCTTTATTTGCTTTTGTGTTGTGCTAGCATTGGTTTGAAAGCTGGATTGTTCTGAGGTTTGTGTCTCTTACACGTGAAAGGAATGAGAAACACATGAAGGACATGTCTTGTCTTACCACTCTCTGTGATTCAAATACACACCAAATTTAGAATTAGAATCCCATATTGTCAGTGCATATTTTAAAACTTAGCTGCGTGCAGTCACTTTTTATTGAATGTTCTGTTTTCTGATAGAACACTTCAAAAAGCACTGTTTAAGACATGACCTTTAGTTAACTCATTTCTGGGTAATATTAGTTAAAGATAGTGGGTTTTGTCACTTAATTCTCTTTTGAGAAGAGGATGCTATCTGACAGTCTCATTTGAAGCCTAGATTTACAGTGTGACTGTTGGAGTAGAACTTGGCAGTTAAGTATTTCAGTTTACACAATACAATGTTTTTACGCAGGCTAACTTCACAGATGTTTATCCACATGTATTTGATTCTTTTGCAGTGCTGTGTCCAACATGAAGAGGGCTGCCTTTCTTCAGAATTAGCCATGCTCCTTCCTTTGATGAGAAGCTTTTCTGTGGATATAACTCATAGTATCTTTTTCATTTGGCACTATGCCTAAGCCAGTATGCGTTTACCTCCTCTGTGTGTGTGTGGATGTTCTGATCCTACAGTAAGTCTTCTGGGCATGACAACTCGTCCACATAAACTAAATAGTGCAATGAACTGGAGCAGGGAACAAACACTGTACAGTTTTACTCACATTGTTCTGGCTTTTTAAAGTCTATTTTTACATTGTATAGCATGTAGTAAATCCTCCTGCACATTTTGTTATTGGAAGGAAAAGTAAACTTTGAATAGTGTAAATAAAATAAGCCTAGTTTTAAGGAATCTGTATTTAAAACCATCTTTAGTTCTTATAGCAAAAATGCAAAAAGGATCATACTCAAGCTTGCACTTAAGAATTCAGGTGAGTTTTTCAGGAAGCACTCCGGGACAATGTTGATGGAAATCGATATTCAACACTTCTTTTAAAATAGTAACTTAGGGTTGAACTATACAACAGTGTTGTTCATAAAGTGAACAAATCCAGATTCTTTGACAGTTTTCCTTAAGTAATTGGTATGTTACCTACCCGTGTTGCTTAACGCAAACTTCAAACCAACATAATATTTCTATATTTATTGGTTTTATTTTAATTATTAATGTTCATGTGGATGACATTTTCCCATATTGCTGCTATACTTCTACTGTTCTTAAGTGTTTGATTTTAATGAAAAAGCTTCAATGTATAAACATTTTAAAAGGTTGTATCTTTTTAAAGTTATATGTACAGTTAAAAAGACATGCACCGAGGTTCCAAGTGGGTATTATATTGAGACTTTTGTCATTGTGTATCTCTAAGTTTTACTACAAATCTCTCTTGTAAATTGTATGCACTGTCTCCTCTGTGATGATGTATCTGCATTCAAACAGATGAGAATGTTTTTTTTTTTTTTTTTTTACAAATTCTGTAAAACAAACCTACCCCATAACCTCAACATTAAAAACTTGTCACAAGTCACTTTGCTAGTCTTAAAGATTAGATTGATATGTAAAGAGTACTAATAAAAATAAAGGAGCTATTTTCTAGGTCGAATTCCTATGAATTCTACACCCAGCTCTACCTACTGTGTGTATAAGAACACTGGAAGATAAGTTTCTAGAGATAAACATATGTCTTTTCTTCAAGCGTTTGTTTCTGTTTAAAGTCTTTAGTGTTTTTTTTTTAACTGAGGAAAAATTTGTTCCTGAATACTTTCACAGTATCTTTTTTTTTTTAATCTGCCTAATATAACAAGTATTCATTTTGATTGATAAAACACATTCATTTTGAAAATAACACTTGGCATGGTTTTAATAGCACTTTCTCTATTTTTTGTTTTTTCTTTTTTTTTCCTAGAAGCCTCGCTATTTTGTCTTTTGTGCCTCTTACTGTTGTAACCGTTTGCAAAATTTTTAGAATTTAAAATTCTTCTCCCCTTACACCACCTCACCACCAACTTGCCAGCCTGACCTGAAATAATAGATTTCCTGAATAAGTGTGCCATATCTGAAGGACTTTTTGTTTGCTTTATTCTACTTTGCTAGTGGTTTATATAAAAAGAAAAACACCATTTATTTCTTCAGCCGAGGTGTTATAAACTCATTGTGGCATGCTTTTTGTATAGAAATGCTCTTTTGACTGTTGACACCTGGAAATCGACTAAAGGAGGTAGCCTCATTTTGTTTCCTTTTTACAAAAGGAGCGCATGTTGTGAAACACATTTTGTCTCCAAATCAGATATATTCAAAGATGGCTAGTCCTACTGTTGAGGCCTGAGGTGACTTAGAATAGAACAGGAAAGGAGCAAATTAAGGGGAGAATTACAGAAGCATTTACAGAAAGTTTGTAGTGTTATAGCAAATTGGATGACTTAAAGTCACAAAATATTAAAAGTAGTAAAATTTGAAAGAAAGTCAAACATAAACAATTCAAAAGCAGCTTAGGCTAGCTAAGCATCTGTTTGAGTGTATTATGTCCCTCATCAGACTAAACACCACTTTGGAAAGTACCTGCTTGCCTTTTACATAGAACCCTGACGTTAAACAGCAGTTGCCAACGGTGGCAAATATTTTATATATATAGGCACACCCCTATATAAAAGTATATATCAAAACAGATGAATAAAAAGAGCTATGTAAGTCTGCTTTTCTACTGAGTTGTATATACTTCACATTCTCCATCATGCATCCTTTTTCCAGATCCATTATCGAATCTTCTGTTCTTCCAAGGAGCTGGATTTCATCGTTATTCTGTATTTTCAGTGTGCAATAGCTGCAAATGGCCACCCAAGAGTAGTGGTTGACAAGTACACTAGAAGAGATTTGGTAAAAATGCAAGGATTATCCCTTGCTGAAAATAAGCATTTTTAATATGAAGAGTCCTGGAAGAGAAGTCTCCTTAAAATCAGTAGATCTTAAATTACTTAAAATTAGGTATGTGTATGTATAGATCAATTTATTTAGCAGTTGTTTTTTATCCAATCCATTTCATGGGATTCAGATATTTCATTTTATAAGCTCCATTCATTTGCTAGCTAGAATTACATTTTGAGTGAGGGCAGTGCGTCCCAGATAGTCAAGAATCCTAGAAGTATGCTTTCCTGTTCAGGGGGAACAATACTGATGTCAGTTCTCTTCTGGTGAGAGATACTGGTCTAATGGGACTCTCAGCTGGTGTAGATTATCAGTGATAAAGAATATCTGCTGTGAACTATGGCAGGTAATTGCAGCCTTTATCTTGGAGCACAGGTCTTACTGCGGCAGTTCATGTCTTTGTTGCTTCCAGACTGGATTAGCTTGGTATCCTTTCTGCATGCATGTCACTTGGAAACTGCAGCTAGTCCAGCAAACGGTATCCTGTGTACTTGAGAACAGTGTTCATAAGCAAGCTCATACCTGTGAGCTTCATCACTCACAGTGGCTGCCTACTCCTTCCCAAGAGGGTAATTTAAGATACTGGTTTTAATTCGTGAGGTTCTAAATAGTACAGAGCCTGTGTAGCACAAAGCCTACTTATCTAGCTACGGCATTAATGGGCAGTGGTGATCAGTGGCTTCACTTAAAACAGCATCTGCCCCATTCAGTCGGGAAGGGCCTAGAAGCAAAGCTTTTTAGTGAGGTATTCTCAACTGTGTTCCATCCAAGCCAAAATTTATTGACCATTTCATCATTCTGAAAAATGTATCTTCTGGGCAATGGGGCTGTAATGAAATGGTAACCAAATTTGGGGAGGTTAGGAAGATTTAGCTATTTGACCTAATTTTTAATCTTTCATGTGTGACTCCAGGCTATCCCTGGATATAAAGTACTTCCAGAAACCTTAAAAACTCTAATCAGCAAGTAGAAAATGAAATCTCAAAGCGACATGAATCATGAGTCTTATGTCAGGTGAACCTTGTGTTTTTTCTCTTAGGAGCACAGGGGATGTTATTTTAAGCCTAAAGAGAAACTCTGATTGTCAGAAAGGTACATCCACCTGTTCTAATTTTAAGGTAAATACCTTGAAAATAAATTGCATTGTAAGTTTGATAGATAGTAGTGAGCTATAAGAGGGTTATATGAAGCACATCCAGTGATGGAGAGGTGTTAGAAGCTTCCTTGCAGAGGTTTTCTTATCACTTAAAGTGAACAACAAAAAGGAACGCTTTGGGCTTTTACACGCTTTAGCTTTGCTGGCGAAACGTATTATCTTGTTCCTTTGCTGATGTTCTTTCTAGCCTTGGCTTGACTCGGGACATTTTTTCTTCTATTTTCATGTATTAATTAGTGATGGCTGTCATTAGCCGATCAGTCTCAAGTCCTAACCATAACTAATGAAGAAACTTTGTGAACCAGGAGAATTAGTTAATATATATATTTTTTGTAGCTACATTTTGTTTTTCTCTGCCTTGTACTCTGCAAATGTTGAATAGAATCCTCTGCACTGAATGCTAATTTCAGCAGAGCTCATAGTTGTTTTGTTGTTCACTTTCAAACCAGTTTTTGTGTTCAGGGTTTTTGTTAACTTTATGGAATAAAGCATTAATGTTAATTTTTTCTAGTGCTGTATGCAAATTTCCAAATTCAAGTGCACGTTTCTTGAAAGCAATATGCCATAATTTAGTAATACAGTACAACAGGATGAAAAACTCAGCAGAGAAGGTAGCATGTTAAGTGTTTGGGTTTTCCTTATTCAGGAAGGTGTTTGGAAAATGCCTGGTTTGATGTGTGGGTGTGTTTTGTTGTTCTTTTGGAAAGAAACTGATATGCAGTCAGAGCTTATGTTGATAAACAGTCCTACACAAGTCTGTGGCTTGATAATACTCAGATAATTGTAATCAAGCCAAGTAAAACAATATAGATTTTCCCAGGGACTGCCTTCTTGGCCTTCAGGAAGGCAGTCCCATTGCCCAGCTCGAACAGGCTTTGGGTGAATGGCACTGTTGCTGTTAAAATGTCGCTTTTTTTTTTTTTTTTTTTAATCTGCAGACAAATGATTTGTCACTCTCAGGAATGTTTCTCCTTCTCTTTGTCGTAGCCTCACAGGAAAATTAACCATTCACATTAAATCCCACATACATCATGCTACCTGTCTATGAATTTTGGAATCTAGGGTTGAAAGATCCCTCAGATGACCTTCCAGCTATTCAGTCATCAAAATTCTCCATAGTGTTACATACTATATTATTCTCTTCACAACCTGAGGGATAGAAATTGTCCTGGAACTTCTTGAGCTAAATCTGAAAAAAAACAAATAAAGAAGCTCTGTCACTTTCAGTTCCAGAAGAAGGAGATGTTGTCTGTTAGTAATAACATGAAAACTCAGCAGTTGAGCTGCTTTCTTCTACATGCATCTGACATTGCATGGGGAAAACAGTCACATCAGCCTGATCTAGACAAAACCTAATTGTTGCCTGAACCACCAAACTTTGGCCTAGAGTTGAGCAACTGCTTCCTCAGAAAGTATATCCGAGATCGTAAAAGATGCAGCCTTAGAAAGCTTCACTTTGTGTTGGCTATAGTGAGTGATTCCTCTGAAAATTCTGGTTGTTGAAGCACAGACTTTGATAGTCCAGTTGCCTGTGGCCCTGAATAGCGCCAAAAAAAAGAGCGCTCTGCTGTGTATTCGCTTGGTACGGAAGGAAGTTTTTGCAGAAACTCTGCATTCTACAGTGTTGACAGCTTCAGTAGGATAGGGCCATTTCCATCCTTATGATTTCTAGAGGGCATTTCAGCCATAAAGGATAGGGAGGTCTTTTTCTCCTATTTCTGTAGACATTGCTTTTCCAATGCAGATCCCATTTAAAAAAAACTCATATTGCTGTGGACTGACTTGTAAAGTTAAACATGATTTGACTGGCTTAGAGCAATATGTGTTGGAATTTGGGGTAAAAATGGGATAAAGCCCCATAGTCTTCAGTGCAATTACAAGAGATTTGTATCTAACTCTGTATGCTTCAGTTTGCAAATTCTTAATGATCACTCTTTGTCATATACCCTTCAGTATCAAAATAGTTATCAACGGTGACGTTTTCATTTGAGCTGTTAGTCAACAATTCTGTTGGCTGCCTACAGGCAATTCTGCACTCTCTTACAAGCAGCTCTCAGAACGGAGGTTAGCTATGTAGCCAGAATTCTTTTCAAAGGAAAGATCATGGTTTTGAAAAGCCTATTTAAGAACCAAGCATGAAGTTGAGGTCTAGAATACAGAATTGATTTAGATGCCCTTCCCATTAGCATTCTCCCCAAGCAATTTATAAGCATGGTTTGGTAATTAAGCAGCATCAGGAACATTAGATGAGCATGTGTCACTCTGGCCTGGGTCCTGCAGCAACACCCCACAAGGCCTTGTGCTTTGTATGCACCCCCAGAACGTTCCAGCCATACCTTTAGCATCCTCCTGTAAAAGCCCTTTTCTCAAGGGCTGGGAAACAGTTCTGTTGTGAGACATAGCAGGGAGACATAGGAGACCAGGAGATAGCTGTATTCCTTGCCATTTGGAGGAGCTCGGTCAGGAGCAGGTTGAGATCAGCTGTGGATGAACGGACCTCACAAGGTAAGACCGGATCCTCAGTTATCCACAGCAGTGACTTACTGACTCAGGAGATGAAGTGGTGGGACCAACAAGATGGTCCTCATTGCTTCCTGCTGGCCTTTGCCTCTCATGACCTTGTGTTCCCTGGGCAGGATTGAGTCCCACAGTGGCCCGCTTTCCCTATTTCTGTGCATGCTTCTTTCCCTGTGGCCCTTCGTTCCCCTTTTCTTGTCCATGTTCCTCCCTACACCTATTTCTGCTCCTGTGCCTGAGACTACCTCTCTGCTGACCTTGCTTAATGCCTCAATAAGTGAAGAACGTTGTTGAGCCCACCAGCCTCCCCCAGCTACTCCAAACTTTTTAGTTTGTGTTATAGGCTGTAAGTCTCTTTGCCCTTGTAGAACATAAATAGTTCATATTCATGACCGGGAAGAAGGGCAGCTCATAAGGGGCCTGAGTGTTGGGGAAGTTGCCATGTCTGGGTATACAAGGAACTGTTTCAGAAAGTGAGTGTGTGTTGGGAGGTGTTAGCAGCACTGAGAAAAACAATGAGTTGAAGGGCTGGCTGGCTGACTGAGTGGGGCTGGTAGCACAGAGCAGCACTGCCAGAGCGAGGGGAGCCGCTGATGCGGTGGGTGTGAGGTTAACGCAAAGAAATGCAATCCATCTGCCTGGCTGCTGCAAGCTATTGAGTCCTGAGTGCCAAAGATGGGAAGGGGCTGTTGAGAAGCATTAGATCTGCTTAAAAGCGAGGGTGTTGTGTGTGTGTGTGTGTGTGGTTCAGAGGGTGCAGGGGAACTGAAACTCCCATTTTGTCATTATTGGTGTAAGTTGGTTTGTTAGTGGGGGCTGTTACTGTCAAATTCTCAGGTGGGCACAGAGGGACTCCTACATTTTTTCTGCTTTCTCTGTCATCATGTGTTATGAGGAAAACAAGGTTAGGCCACATGTACTTCTGGGTGGCCCGGTCCTGCTGTGATCAGGAATGGCTTGTCATCATCCTTGTACAGACTTTGCAGGATAGAGATGATGCATATCCTGTCAACCTTCCTAGTACCTTCTTGTCCTTTGGGTTTAAGCATCTGGCTCAATGCTCTACTGAGGTATTGGACAGCACAGCTAAAGTTAGCGGCAGGTAAGTGGTATTTACTGTGCTGCGGATTGGTGCTTAGACCCCCTCCCCTGCAAGGTTGGCATTTGCAGGGTTGAGGGGGAGAAACAACTTACCTTGCTCTCAGAAATCAGAGCATTCAGACTCTAGCCTCAAGGGTAGGACAGGTACAGGCAACAGTGGTTCTTTCCTGGTGCATCCAAGGACTTCCATTATGAAAGAATGAGTGCCCTTCTAGCTGCAGGATGTATGAGAGTCCTGCAAAGGATGCCACATAGGGTTGTGAATCCCTCAGAGTGTTTCATGGCTTTTTCAACATTGCACTAGTGAACTGCTTGTGAGGAGATGAACCGAGTGGTGGTTTTGCAACCTCCACCAGAATCCTGGCTAATTACATCTTTCCTTTTGGCTTGAAACTGGTTGCTCAGTCCCCAGTGAGAGCCTGGCGGCAAGATTCTAGGGAGTACTGGCCATGCTTGTACATATGTGCTGGAGCAGCTGAAGGTGGTGCTCTGGCAGTCAGTGAGGGATGTCCACTCCCAGAAGGGAACATCACTCCATTTAGGAAAGTTCTGTGCCCACCCTGATCACCCCAGGTGGAATAACAGTGTGCGATTCCACTTTTGTGCCCTAGGGCACCTAACCTCCCTCTCTGTGGTGGCAAGCATGCATCTTAGGCAAGATGCATGTCTTCTCACAGCATCTCTGCAGCAGCTGCCCAAGTAGTGTGTCAAGAGCAGTGCCTGGTGAGTGCAGGTTCTGGGTATGCCTTTTCAAGCAACACAGAGACTGGCTAGAGAAAGGCTACTCTGCATCTGAGAATCAGCACAAGCAAATTAAGACCCTGCTGCTCCTGTGCTCTAAGACACACCAGTAGCAGTCATGAGTTGCGTATTGTAGCACTGTGAATGACTGTCAGGGTCCTATGGAGTATTTTGAGGTCCTTGCTTAAGTTACGCCTGTTAGGGGCACATGGCAGTGGAGGGTTTCTTGCGAGAAGAAAGTGTGGGTGACTAGGTACAAAGTCTCCTGAGGTGTCTGTTCTGTCCCACGGTCTGTTCCAACTAATGATGGGATACATCTGCCTTGTGTTGGATGCTAGCTGGTTTACCAACATAGCTGTTGAACATTTAAGTCTCAAAATTTCTTCTCAGATCTGTAGCCTATCCAGAGTTAAAAGCAGTGTGTCACCAATTTCTTGTGATGTCTCCCCTCTTGAGGATGAGCTGGTTTCGCTACTGTAAAAGAGTTTGGGTTTGAATATTTCAAATGTTGAGAGGGGAGCTCCTATTACCATTAAGAGGGTTCCTGTCTTTTGGGTCCAGTCTCATGCTTTCTCATAAGTCTCAGTACCCCCTTGTAGCCTTACAATGGTTCTGTTCTGGATTAGGCTTTGGGAACATAAAACTTGTTCAACCCTGTTCCTTTCTGGAGTCCTTAGCTCAGTGAGAGTTATGCAGCTCCTTACCTGGACCAATCCCTATGAAATCTTTTTTTCAGGAGAATAGACTACAGATTAAAGAGTACTAGAATCTCAGTCTCAGTTGTAGCTGTGTTTGTCAGGGCTTGCAGAGTTGCTGAGAAATATCAGACTCTCTACTTTTCCTTTTTCCATTCAGGTTTCGTGTCTGAGATCCACTTCGTATGTAGTCTTGGCCAAGGGCGAGATTTAAAAATCTCTAACCTCAATAGTTCTGGTCATTTCTGGAGACTGTAGCTTCTTCAGGATAGCCTCATCATCCATGCTATTTTAGAAGGCTCTAGTCTTGCTCAGACTGGGATCTCAGAGCCTTAAGTTTGTCTTCTGTCTGTTTCTGGAGCCTCCAGTTCATCTGGAATTAGAAGGGATGCTGCTGTCACTCTGTGTAAATTCTTGTG